GCTGCTGGCTTCTCTTACACAGACGCCAATAAGAACAAAGGCATAACCTGGGGAGAGGATACACTGATGATGGAGTATTTGGAGAATCCCAAGAAGTACATCCCTGGAACAAAAATGATCTTCGCTGGCATTAAGAAGAAGGGAGAAAGGGCAGACTTGATAGCTTATCTCAAAAAAGCTTCAAATGAGTAATGGTTGGCCATTGCCTTATTTATTACAAAAGAGAAATATCTCATGGCTTTTTTTATTCATACCATAATTTGATTGGTCTCATTTACCAAAATTCAGATCACGAATGAGTGATAGAATATTTTTTTTGGACAGTCCCTGCTTCACTAAGACTGGCTTGTGGTTAAATGAATAAGATTGGTTTTTTGGATTTTGATAGTGATTCCGGTTCAGTAAATGCTATCACTGTTTTCCATTTGTAAAGATACATTCAGATATCATTAGTGATGTTTACCTTTTCACAAAGGTAGTCAATTGCCATCCCAAAACCTATTGAAGATTGGTTTTATATTAAGATTTATATGACTGATTATGTGAATATATTTAAATACTGGGGAAATCCCCTCACACTGTCTCAGAACCAAGTAAGCCTCACTGATGTTTTAATTGGTGTTCACTAGCCTGTTAAAGGTGAGGGCTGGAGAGAAGGTAGCGATGTTTGCTTTGTACTTTTGATCTTTATTATGCCACTCTAATTTCCCTGGATCTACTAAAATGCTGCCTTTTATTTATTGAAAGGCATTTTAGAGTGGTTTATGTGTAATGTCAAAGAATATTTAACATTTCTCTTATTTTATAGACAATCTATAAGGTCATGCTTTTAAAAGTCAGTATGTCAAGAAACGGCAAATCAAGCTTTTGAATTATTTACTACCTAAGTCAGGCTAAGTTATAATTTGGGATTGTCTTTCAACAACTCTTCAGAAACACATAAAACTGTATAACAGCTCCATGTGTGTGACTGGTAACGGTGCTTTTGCCAACTCATTACGTGGATTAAAATAGAAGAGATATACACAAATTTTAAAATTGCGTGTGATCATAACATAATTAAAAACAAAAATCACAGATCACAATTTTTTGACTGCCTGATTTAATGACTAATGACAAAATTTTTACAATAGTCCTCAATACCATGCGGTATTTTACCAGTCATGGTACTAGATGTGTTTACTTGATCCTCTAGGACAGCTTATACTGGAATAACACTTGACTAATTCACACTTAACTAGTTTCTTTGGTCAGAATGACAAGTGCAACATTTATGCCAGGCATGCATAAAAGAATATGTCTAGTCATAGCTTTGTGATATGTAACACCATGTAATTACACACTAAATCATTTTGTGCACAGTCCATGCCATATGCATTTAAATACTGCACTTGATCTTAGCCAAAAGGCCAAGAAGTGATGCCATACACATTTAGAGTAGTCCTTGGAAATTTTATGGAGATGGTGAGCCTGAACTATGCCATAAAGAAGGGCAGGGGAAATAAAGGGGAGAGCTGTGGCTTTGTGGGATAGTTAGGAGATTGGGAAGAGGGCCTCATTCATGATTTCAAAAGTAATAAGAATGATTAAATGAGCCTTTAATGTCTGGCAAATGTCTTGTAAAAAAAACTATGCTGTCCAAATAATAGATGAAAAGTTTCACTTTATAGGAATATTACAAAAAGAGTTAGAATGTCAGTGTATTGCAATACATGATGAATTAACAGATCTAAGCATCGCCCTCGAATGACTGCCTACCCAAAAAAAAAAAAAAAAAAGAAGGAGAGAAAACAAGAGAGTTAGTCTCCTAATGGAGGCTCATATTATCATCTATAATGTAGTTCCCCTCTAAAAAAAAAATCTATAATTCATCAAGTCTCTAGATTTAATTACAATCACTTTAAAGGAAAGATAGGGTGAGAGGTACATGTTAAAACTCTATAGCAAAATCCAGTGTGTAGGAAATTCTACAAGTGATGTAGTTTCTTCATCAATTAAATTGCAAGAAGTGAAAAAAAAAGGCTCAGCACCTGTAGCTCAGTGGCTAGGATGCCAGCCACATACACCAGAGCTGGCGTGTTCGAACCCAGCCTGGGCCTCCCAAACAATGACAACTACAACCAAAAAATAGCCAGGCGTTGTAGTGGCCGCCTGTAGTCCCAGCTACACAGGAGGCTGAGGTAAGAGAATCACTTAAGTCCAAGCATTGGAGGTTGCTGTGAGTTGTGACGCCACAGCACTCTACCAAGGGTAACATAGTGAGACTCTGTTTCAAAAAAAAGTAAAAAAACCTCCAAACTGTTTTAAGATCTGATGAACCTTAAAAGTTCTATCAGTCAGTCCTAATCTGTGGACCTTACTTGGATATTAATTCAAATAGATATACTGCTAGGAAAATTTTAACAAGAGACAAGTAAAAATTTGAACAATAGCTGATAATTGATGGCATCAAGAAATTAGTATTTTAAATTATGATAATGATACTATGGTTATGTTGTTATATATTAATGAGAGTCATTATCTTTTAGAGATACAAAAGGAAAACATTTACAGATGAAATGAGATGTATTAATATAAGATTTGCTTCAACAAATTATGAAAGGAGAGAAGCAGAGGGGGGTATATGTAAAGCAATATTGGTCATAATGATAATTACTAAAGCTGATGATGGGTACATGCTACATATTATTCTATCTACTTTTGTGTATATTTGAGATCTCCCATTAAAAGCCTCCTGCTAATAGCACACACCCCAACATAGTGCTTGTGTACTGGAAGAAAATCCTGCTCAGTGCATATATAATCTAAGTCTGGTTTTTGTATATTCTACCTATGTCATTATGATATATTACCTTAAAGTACAAAATAATATGTTCAGAAATAAGAGAGATACTCTTATAAAGTAATTATCTTACCTTATCTTACTTTTTCTTAAGAGTTAATTACTTCAGTGTGAAGGCTAAGGAAAATTTCAAGATGGCTTTTACTCTAAAAGTCCAGTGGTTCTCAACCTTCCTAATGCTGCAACCCTTTAATAGAGTTCCTGTGGTCATGACCCACTGGTTGAGAACAGCTGTCTTAAACTAATCTCAAGTAGAAATTTTGCTTGACCTGCTGGAAAGAATTCTGCAGCCAAATATAATCAGAAGTTCTTTGGTTTTATTTTATAACATGATTCCTAACTCAGGGCAAGGAGTCTATGAATATCTCAGTTACTGGGTAATGGATAATAGCTACATCCCATGTTCCAAGCATTGTGTTTTATTTCAGGCACTTTGAATATATTATATGCTTTAATCTTCATAACATTTCCATCTCATGTGATGGGTTTTATTGTCTTTACATTACAACTGAGGGAATTCAGGCCGACTGAGGTTAAATAATTTGTCTGAGGTACAGCGACAGCCACGAACAGCATTATGAATCAAATCCAGGGCTGTCTGTCAAACCTGTGCTCTTGACCACTTCCCTGTCCTTAATTGACATTACAAAGGTGTCCTTAAACTTGATAAGTAACTGATCACAATATTCAGCTGTGAAAACATAGCCAAGACTAAGTCAAAGAAAGACTGTGTCAGAAACACATTAATGGGGGCTTTCTTCCTCTCCATCTTTGGGATGCCATGCCATGTCCCTGCTCTGTTCTCCTTTTTCCTTCTCTTTCTCTCTCTCTCCCCATATTCTCTTATTTCACTCCCTGCTCTCTTCTCTCTTTCTTATCTCTTCCTCCTACTCTTTTCCTTCTCTAATATAAAATAAACATTTTATGTCCTAAAAAAAGAAAAAAATAATGCATATAGTCCATATCAATAAGCTAAAAAAGAATACTTCCACTAACTACTTTCAGTAATTCTCATGTTAAAATAATTTTGAAAATTGAGGAAAATGTAAATATTTTTGCTGAGTTTTTTTTTTTTTTTTGTATGAAATCAGTAGGAACAAAAGGTGTATGAAGCACATTTTCAGACCATAAACCACTAAGAAGGATGATATCGTAACAGTTTTGTGCTATGTTCAGCAGCAGGGGAAGCTTTTGATTAGGTTTTCATTTTTCTATTATGGTCTTAAGCAGAAAGTATTATATAAATTGAAAAATATAAAAGTAATATTCATGATGCTTGGAATTGAAGAGAGACTAAAAAAGGAGTCTATAAACAAATCTGCATTCGGTTTTTAATATCTTATTAATAATAAAATCAAATTTTGGCCAAGATTTAAAGAGTTTTATCAACTTATTTTTTCTTATCCAGACTTACTTTTACAGTTATATTTTTTTCACCTAGAATAATAAACATATGTTAATAAAAATTCAAAACACGTTGGTGACTCAAATTTACCAGACAAATACAGTGATATTTTCATTTATATTTTGCCCTTGGCATTTAAGAAGTAAATACTTTCTAAGGAGATTGTCTATATTAGGTACATAAAAAATCTTGACTA